CCAGCCTAGGGGGCGGGGCGGGCCCGCTCCGGGGCGGTCCTCCTCGGCCTGGCCCCGCCCAATTCTTCAGCACCCGGCTCCTGCCAGGACTCTGCCATCTAAACCCGCCCTGTTTCCCATTGACTCCACTTATTGCCTCAGCTTAGACAGCGTTTCCCGGCGCTCCGGTTTACCCCCTCTGGGCTCCCTCTTCAGTCCTCACCCGTTCTTTTGTTCTCCTGTCTGCAGTCCGCCGTTATCTAGACCTCGTCCCTTTTCCTTCACCAGTTAGAAGTTCTCGCCCCGTCCTGTAAGTCCCCACAGACCCTTAGGACTCTCTCCCAGGTTCTCTGGTCCCCAAGACTCCCCATTACAGGTCCCGTTCCCCCTTTTATCCAGCCTGGGAGCTTCGTAGTCTTTGCAGGTCTCACCTTTCCCTTAGCACCCCCATCTCCCGTTCTTTACCCATTCTTACCCCTGCCCCGCCCCCGCCTAGCCTGGTTGCTTCCACGCTCCTCAGAGCCCTGCTCCTCCCTCAGTCTTGCTTTCCCACAGCCCATTCAAGACATTTTCTACCATTCGTAGACCCCGGCCACCTCCCTCAGTCCCGCCCCATCCATCCTGACACTCATTCTCCCGGTCCAGCCCGGCCCCGGCTCTTCTTTACCTCGCCCCCTACCGTAGTCCTAGCCAGATGCTCTCAGGTTCCCAGGCTTCGCTCATCTCCGTCCCTTGTCACTGGGTCTCAGTCCCTATAAACCTTGCTCTGTCCCCTTTCATTCCGGCTTAGTGCCATTTCAAGTGAAATTACTCTCCACCCTCCATTTCCAGTTCCCGCCCTCGTTCAGTCCCTCCCACTCACTCTCTTAGCCCAATCAAGACTGTTTCTACTTTTTTCGACTCCGCCTCTTAAGATCTGCCGTGCTGGGTCCAAGCAATGTCAGAAGCCCGAGCCGGCCGTCTCCATCTGTCCTTCCCCGCCAGGTTCTGCCAGCCCACCCCTTAGGTCCCGGCCCGCGATCCTTTTCTGTCCAATCAGGACTGTCTCCCCGTCGTGGCCCTGCCCCCCTCGCCCTGCCCCTCAAAGGCCAGGCCTGTTTAAATAGCTGGGACTTGTTCCCTTTCTCTGCCCGGCCCCCTCTTTTTTTTTTTTCAGTTTAAACAGGTCTCTTTCTCATCCAGCCCCGCCTCCTTTCTCTTCGTGCAGCCAACAAACGTTAGCGGCGCGTCCCGCCTCCTTCAACACCTCGCTCCGCCCCCTTCCCTCGGGAAGATCCAATCGGTGTGTTTCACCTGCTCCCCCGCCCGGTCCAGCTAGGTAGCGTTCGAGTCCCAGCCCCACTCTCTGCTTCAGCTCCGCCCCACCTCTCCCAGACCAATCACTTCGGTTCCTCTCCACGTCGGCCAGGCCCCCTTATTTATAGTTTCTTTCCACCCAATCAGGTCAGTCTCTTCCCCTGAGGCCCCTCCCTCCAG